TGCGTGCGTGCGTGCGTGCGTGCGTGCGTGCGTGCGTGCGTGCGTGCGTGCGTGCGTGCGTGCGTGTATACTGTGAAGCAAACGAAATGTTTTTATAAAATAAGAGAAGTCATCATTCGAATTACCTTTGCAAAAAGTGACCACAGTTTATCATGCAAATGAATACTTTTTGTAAAAATTCGTATCAATAACCATTCCTGCATTATTTTCACGCTAGACTGATTGCTTTCCGAAAAAATAAAATCACATAACTGTTCCTGTAGTAGAGGAACAAATTCCTATAAAATAATTATCTGTTAATTTTTTAATCGAAAAATAAAATTTAACAAAGACTTAATAATACTTTTTGAAGTTTCTACAAGTATTTAACGAGAATTTAGTGCTCACCTTATTCAATACTGGTTCTAATATTAATAAAATTTGCATTATTCTGTGTTTTAATTTATGTAAAGGCGAGTCTTTAAAATATCTTTTGGTTTTGTTCTTTATCAACTCATTGAGTACTGACTGTCCAAATGATGCTGCGTAATTAAATTCTGGATTACTAATTATTCTATGTAATAGTATAACTGCTTCTGCTCTAATTGCAGCATCATTATTATGATCCCTATTAAAAAATATTAATGTTCTATTAATTACTATTAACAAATTGCTTTGAATTTTAACAAGTTATGCATTTAAAATATTGTTAAAAAGAGACGCTTACAATGTGAAAATATGTTTTGAATAATATTTATCCAATTGCTTCTCAATAAATAAATGAGCATAATTTTCAATTTTCTTGTCACGTCGGTGTACAGAACCATGAAGGAAACAATTCCCTAATACATTTTCTAATTTCATCAAATTGTGTATATCCAAATTTTTCATTTTAGAAAGCAATATCCTTTTAAATCTTGGTGTATTCTCCCCTTCGTTTAGTAATTTAATAACATACTGCAGAGCATAAAAATAGATCATAAGTGATTGATATTTCATAATTGATACGTAAATTTCGATATATATTTTAACTTACTCTTTTTGTGAATTGTATGGCATTAAGTAAAAGCAAAAAATTGTTATTAATAATAACTCCCATAAGGTTCTCTATTGCTGTCCAAAAAATATTGTTTTTTTTACTGTTGATGATGTACGTAAAGCTCAAGTTAAAAATATATTCCAAAGTTTCTTTATCACTTGCATCGTTTATAATTTTACTCTCATTTATTGTTGTTAGTATCTTTGCAATTTCAGAAACATTTTCTGGTGAGCCTATCTCAAGAAATTGTAACAAATTAGACAGTATTGTGGTAATAGGAATCCATGACGGTACTGGCGAATTTATAAGATATTGATGCAGAAGTTTTAAAAGAAGCAGATCATATTCTGATGCCATTTTTCCTTTTAAAATTTTTTCCTCATTGATATCGTTATGAATATTCATCCGCGTATTCAATAAACGTTTTATATAAAAAGTTTTCGTAAGTGGCAAAGTCAATATATTCTGAGAGAGATATAAGGTATGTAATCCATACAAATATTGTATATTTAAATTTTGCAAGTCATGTATCAAGTTTATACTTTCGTTTTGCAACTTTTTTGCATAAATGTTTACATCCTTTTTTGACATGAGAAAAGGAGCGTTAACAATATGTGAAGATATAATGGCTGCGTACCTCGTATAATCTTCATAAGACAGTTCTGTGGACATCTTTCTCATATTTTTAATTAAAAAATTAAAAGTGATGCGCATGTGTAACGATATAAAGTCCGTCATGCTATTGTGAGACCCCTTCGGGGAAAAATATAGTAAATACGATATAAATTCTACTACATTCATACTTAATGTGATATCGGCATACGGTCGTACGTTAATACCATTTAACGTATATAGCCAATTATTTAATGCTTCTACGTCAGGACACGTCTGGCATAAGAATATAAGATTTGCGTCGTATAACAAATATACCATTAATGCAAATGTCTTAGGATTTATCTCAGGACTAACATCTTGATTCAAATATTTCGCACAAGTCTCCTTTATGAAAGTTATTACATCTTCTCTTGTTAATACTTTTTCCAACCATGTTGTAATAACGTTCCAAGGAACTGTTCCTCTTGTGAGACTTTCTCCAGAAGGAAATGTAGCTAAAACATTAGCAAGCAATGGTAGATTATTTATTTTTCGTACATAATTAGGAATTGCTCTCAAGAGTTCAGTTTGAGAGGCAGTACGCAGAATGCGAGAATGCATGCTCAAATTGGTTTCCACTAAAAATTTTATAGCATTTAACTCAGTAGTTTGCCAATTAGAATGTTGATGTGAAATTGTTTGTAACACATGTACTATATAAAATATTGCTACAGGTCCCCAGGCTATACAGCTAATTTTTTTAACAAATTTATTAAGTAAATTGCTTTTCTCCGCGTATTCGAGAAATTGTGAGAGCTCTTTCACAATTCCCGGACATTTTTCGTCAGACTGGCATTCATAAAGGAAGTTATTATTGAGGACATGTATAAATAATTCAAGAAACTGATCATCAAACATGGTCTTGTCTAGTTTACAAACGTATGATACACCCCACTTTACAATATGATTGTTCTCGTGCAATAAGATTTTCTCAAAAATGCACTGCAACCATACGATGTTGAAGCAAGCTTTATGCTCTTTGTTTATTTTTATTAAAGCAGCTGCATGAATTAAAGTTGGTGTTATTAAATGTTCTTTCTTCTCTTCTAACGCTTCGTAAAGTAAGAAAAATTTCTCTTTAATATCATCCATTGATAATGAGGTATCAGAATTATTACAAATAAATGGTGTAATTTCTGCTTTTGTCACGTTCAATTGTGATTCAAAATTTAATATAACATTTGTACTCATAGAACCGATTGCTTTTTTCATTATGTATAAAGCTTGTTTGCGATATTGTTGCAAGGGCGATCGCAATCCCCTTAATATCAATAACCAGAATGTATTGTTACAGTAAATATCACACTGTATATAATTCATTGAATTTGACGATGTAAAACATATGTCTGCCATAATACTTAGGCCAATGAGAGATTCCTTTAAATCACTTATTTCATATAGAAAATAGTTCCACAGAGGAAACACAATACATGAAGGAGTAAAAATTTCTACCAATTTAGGAAATATTAAAGCAAACTGTCTCCATTCACAGTCTTCCTTTAGCTTCAGCCAGGACTTGATAATCTCCAAATATATATGATCAAGGCTTTCTAATGCCTTGTTATCTTTAGTGGTGTGAAGTTGATACAAGCGTAAAAATTCTAAAAGATGTTCTAATATCGTCATATACATAATCCTAGAATTACTAGTTGTAGTATACATGTCGTTTGAGTGTAGAAAATTCTGCAGATATTGTTTGATTGAACTAATATTATAATAAAGTATCATCTGCAGATTGATTATGTCACACAAAAGTGAAATTTCTGAGATATTTCGTGAAGAGTTTGGTGGAAAAATTATTTTTATACTAGGAAAGTTAAATTCCTCTGTATTAACAGGTGTCACATGCTTCTTATATTTTTTATCGCTCCTCTCGATGTTGTGAAACACAGATTGGTATTCATAACATAACAGCAACCGGCAAAACTCGAGTTTATCTACATCTAATTCTTCTTTAGTCATTTCATAATTATAAGATTGTATCAAGTGATGTATGTTAATAGACTTGTTTATAGTTTGTAAAAGCGAAATGTTGACTGTCGAGAAACGTAAATAATAATTATGAAGATCCATCTTATTTTGGATTTGGATTGAATTTACTTTCTTGGATTGATTCTAATTATATAAAACTGTCGAACTGTTCAGTATTTCTTAAGCTTACTTGTTTTCTTATTGGATTGCTTGCGTTTTGATAAATTATGATACGTTGTAATTTTTGTATGATTAGTTAGATATAGCACGGTATGCAACTACGTAGTAAACTAGGTAACTAGGTACCGCAAGTTGTACCTGTTTTCACATTAGACGTGCATTTTGTTCATCTTTCAGTGCTTGATAACGATGATAAATATAAAACGTAGCCATAACTTTCCGCATTGTAAATTCACATCTCTTCGACTGATCTGATTTCTTATTCGATTTAATAATGTTATCATGGCCATCAATATTATATTTGCAGTACACATTCCATGTTAAAAACAACTTTAATTAATGCGAAAATATGTTTTTTCCCCATCGAATTCTGAAATTACTTCTTTTTACTTTGCAGTACATACACAGTATACATCCGTGTTAATTTTTGGTTATATCGACTATGCCATGATATCGCAATTGCCGCGTAGGAGATGCGATACGATATCTAGGTGAGACCTGGGAATCGATTCTGTATCTTGAAACGAGATGAAAATGACAAAAGTCTAGAATACTGATAGTTTCATTGGTCAACATCTAGTAAATTTGCTCACTTTTGTATTTTCACCTTGTTTGAAGCTATAGAATCGATTCCCTAGGCTAGGGATTCATCATTTCTCCGAACGATTTCACACTTAAGATTCTGCGCACAATAAATGGAACAAAGAATAATAATATTAACTTATCAGAAATTGGATACATCGGAATATATGGTTTCTGATAGGTTGAAATCATTATTTCTCATTCCTAATTCCTTATTCCTGCTATTGTGAATAGCCCGGAGCCCCCCTAATACACATCCCGAAATACGCATGAGATTTCCGAACGGTTGGTTTGCATCGATGTGTATGTATGTACATACGCTGGTGTATATTTTGAATCGAACGCAACCCATGTAATATTTTTGTATTCCCACCCCACCAAGGTCCCAACTCGACAACAGTAGACTGGATAGACGCCTCACGCCTGACGGCTGACGGTAGCGTTGGATAGCCGATAATTCGATTGGCTTCATGCCGGACATGTGTTAGTCTGCGTTAGGCTTCGTAGTTGCGCGCTTGGCGTTCTCCTGTTCGATTGTTTCATATTCGTAGTTTCTATCGTCCTCCACCTTGGCGAGTTTCACGGCGTCGGCGTCGATTACGACGAAAATTCGCGAGACGCACATATATACGCAATACCGACAGACGTCTCGTTTTTTTCGCAAAACAGCTGAAAATAGCAAACCCAACGTTATTAAGGAATTCTGTTATCTTTTATGTGGCCCTTGTAATCGGCTATAGTTGTACCTGTGTGTATGTGTGTGTCTGTATGTGTGTGTTGAGTGTGTGTGTGTGTGTATATGTATATGTGTATGAGGGCGCGCGAACGTGAGACAAGGGAAAACGACAACGGCGTCTATCAGCGCGTCTCCTAAGGGGTGAGTTCTTGCATATTTATTTCCGCGTTCGTACTTGCGAACACGATTTACTAATAAGTTCGCGTTGTAGGTAGGCTATTATTATTAGTGCAAAGACAAGTTCGAAATCGATCTGTGAAATTGAAAAAAATACTTGGGCAATTCGCTGATCGCGATCTGACTAAATGTATATAATTTTTTTGTTTAATCTCACGAATCGATTTTCACTGATGTCTCATTTCTACGCATTTTCGCGAGTGTTATTCCCTATGAAAGAAAAAGATTGATCTGATCTCGCGGCCAGTTATTCTATGTATATAATTTACTTCAGTTCGCGCGTACTTTCTCGCAGCATACATCTTGTACATCGCCGGCATTTTTTTCTTTCTACGCCGCGCCGGCATTTTTTTCTTTCTACGCCGCAGAGGCAATCATCGAAAACGATCTCTATGCGAACTATATGATTTTCAACGTTCTCTAACGTTCTCGATGTTCGTCAGGCGATACTTTTGGAATCGAGTGTATTATTCTATTAGATATCGAATCCATATGATGCCAATGTCGCTTTCGCGTGCATCAAATCAGCATCGCAGGAATATCGCAGTAATTTAATTTAAAAGATAATATTGCATTACTCCATTTTTATTTTTTAGTCTAACACCAATCCTAAACAAACATTAAGATGTTAATGCTGTTTCTTTAATTACGGAGTAAAATGTTTAATTGCGCACGAGCAAAGATTTATCTAATCAGATTTATCTAATCTCAATCGATAGATTTTCGTTTGCACTTTTAGTTAAAAGATTTTATTAATAATTAAATTATTTTGAAGACAGTTGATTCAGATAATTAAGTTCAAATTGTAATTAGTGTAACTATGCTCAAAATGGCATAAATCGATAGATTTTTGTTTACATATTCCAAAACAAATCGATTTTTCGTTTACACACTTTTAGTTTAAAAGCTATTAACAAATAAATGTTGAAGGCCAACTTCATTCTGCAGAATGTACATTTTCGGCTTGAATTCTAAAGAAACAAAATTCAAATAACACTATTTGATAGATTTTCGTTCGCACATTCCGAAACAAATGAGAATCAGGGTTGAAAAAAAATCCGGAAAAAGTTCAACCCATTGGGTATTTTATTGGATTTTATTGAGAGGTTTTTTTTTTATAAAATTGATTATTTGATTTTTTTTTTATGTGATCGTAAGCTGGTATTTATAGTCCATTCTTATTTGAAGATTGTCTTAAATAATATCTTACGCTAATGTACCTCTCTGATTGATTCATGACATCTTAAGACAGTCTTAGATATAGGAATCAATTATGAACACCAGCCGTAGTATGAAGTCGACCAACTTAAAATAAACGATAATCTGCAGTTCTATAACTTCTATAGCAGTGTCGCAGGGTGCAAAAAACGAACTACGCAAGTCATAATATTTTTTATCGTACCATAGAGACTGGAGTGTCTCTCGAACACATTTTATTGCTACGCATCAAATGTAAAAAATGTTTCCAAGAAAATTGTTGCGGTGTAAAAATAATTTTCTACGTTAGCAACATCTATTATACATTTAAAAAATATTCGCATTCTTTGGAGATATCGATGAACTGCATTAAATTCGCGGTAAGATACTTAATTAAATGCAGGCGTTCTTCATTCTTTAGATTTTAGAAATAAAAAATGAGCCAGACATATCAGGAAGAAAGCATGGACAAGAAAGAAATCGCCGAGGAAGAGAGAGAGAAGATGCTGAATGCTGAAAACACTAAACATGCCAGCATCGCACCTGCGCCCGATGTTGAATCCGAGGAGCAGAAACCGAAGAAAATACCGATCGGTGGCATCAAGATGCCCGGATTTTGCCGTACGAAGAGCAAGGAACCATGCAAGGTACATTATTATCATGATTGTCATCTTTAAATAGTATTCCGAAGATTGTTGGCTCTTTTGCCTGACAAGTAAACTTTAGGGAAATTCAGACGCCGTTTTTTCAAAATTTTTACGACGTTGTTTCTTACAGAAAGAAATATAAAAAAATTTGCCATTAATTTTAGCTCAAACTGAGTCTGTTCTATTAAAAAGAGATTTTATTTTTTACAAATACTCAATTTTACATATGTTTAAAACAGTATTTCTTACATACACACACACACACACACACACACACACACACACACAAATGAATCTATATCCGATTTCTTGAAGCTCGATTTACGGATCAAAATAACAGATAATAATTGTTAAGAAATGATTTTTCTTAAAAAAAAAAACCTTTTACAGAAATACAATTGGAAACTGATTAATGTCATGTTATTTTAATTAAATAATTAAAGAATCATTTAAATTGCTATTACGCAACAAAAAAACTAAATCTAACTTGTCTCTTTTTTCATTTTTTGTATACTTTTAAATTTTTTGTTTCTTTAATATTTTTTGAATCTTTTTTTATTTTCTTCTAAATACATATTTGTACACATTTCTTATATTTTTTAAAAATATTTTTGGGCATTTTTTTCTCTTATGAATGTATCAATATTTAAAAAAATGAATTAATTTTGCATTTGTAAAAATTATGTCAAATAAACATATCGCTGAACAATTGTTTTACGCATGGTATTATACATGATATAAAGTTGGTTATATAAAAGAAAATCGGCTACATTTTCCACAAACATAACACTTTTTAAGTTTTCATGGGTATTATCTTCAAAGATATCAAAGATATCAAAGATATCATAGACATTAACAATAGATGAAAATACGGCGATAACTCGTATAAACTTCTGGTATCTTTCGACAAACATATTTCACATTTCTCACATTTAAACATTTTCATGATTTTGTTTAAATTTTGGAAAACGTACATGAAGATATTTCATTTAATAAATGCAGTTATTGCAAGCTTTATCTATGTAACTAATCACAGTATTATTCAATCTGTCTAAATTTGTGAAAATTATATTGAATGTAAATCTAATGATGTAATGAAGAAATGTAACCCCCTTTGCCGAAAGGGGCTGCATATGGCGGAAGAAAAAAGAGATTGCGCATGTTAAACAAGGAAATAAGAAGTAGATGAGTAGCTGAATAGATAAACAATGATATTACACGCAGATGTGAAGAGGTAGAGATTCATGATCAAAATAAATAATCAAGGGATATGTAAGGGTGGAAGATCGATCGGGACATTCCAAGAACAAACAAAGAAGAAATCGCGAAAACATGGAGAGAATATTGCCAAGATCTGTACAAAGACGAAAATCACAACAGATACAGAATCCGTAACAATGAGGAGGCAGAGGAGCCCGAAATTTTGAAATGTGAAGTAGAAGAATCGGCGATTAGGAAACTTAAACTCAACAACGCACCAGAGGAGGACTCAATAACGGCGGAATTAAAGCTACGAAAGAAGTTGGAATGAATCTTCTACACATTTTGTGCAATAGAATATGATATCAGATAATAGCCTAAAGACTGGATGCAATCTATCATTATCGCCATCCACAAGAAGGGAAGCCAACTAATAAATGTGACAATTACAGGACCATCTTCCTTATCTCGCATGCCAGTAAAGTAATGCTACATATTATCAACAAAAGCCTACATCCAAAAAGAAATATCGGTAGAACAAGTGAGATTTGTCAAAAGCAGAGGAACTGGAGAACACCTCTTAAACATGAGGCAGCTCATCGAAAAGGCAAGAGAATTCATCTCATTATACATATGCTTCATAGATCTATCGGAAAGCCTTTGATAGGGTAAGATGACCCTGCTTCTGGCGAATGTTGGAAGAAATGGGAGTACCAGGACAAATTATAAATCTTTTATATAATGGAACTATATCACCAACAGGATCATAAGAGTACTTGATATTATATCGAGAATTCCATCCAAAACAAGACAGGGATGCATATTAGCTCTACAATTATTTAATATTTACAGAGAGTATATTATGAGAAGAGCACTTGATGGATGAGAGCGTGATATTTCAGTCAATGGCCAAAAAAATAACTTATTGCGATTTGCAGACAATACAATACTACTCGTGAATAACAAAGAGGAAATCGTCGAATTCATCCGTAGAGTGGAAAATGAAAGCCAACATTTCGGGCTAGAATTCAACACATCTAAAACAAAGGTTATAATAGTGGATAGATAACATCAAAACCATCCTGAAATAATACAGGTTGACAGATTCGAAATGGGTAAACGCTATGTACGTGGGGATCAATAATATCGAATCGCTGGCTCAACAGAAGAAGAGATAAAATGCAGATGCGAGTTGGCCAAGATAGCAATGGGAAAACTAACGAAGATTTGGAAGGATCATCAAATCTCAAAAAGTTGAAAACAAGACTGATTAACTGCCTAGTATTCCCTGACATATGGAAGTGAGTCTTGGACGATAAAATAGATAGAGAGAAGAAGGATAGAAGCCACTAAGATGTTCTGCTGGCGAAGGATGCTACGAATCCATGGACTGCCCATCGTACAAACAACTCCATATTAAAAGAATTCAAAATCGAAAGGAGGATCTCTAGCAAAATACAATTATAGCAATTGAGATACTTTGGACATATTATGAGAAGAGAATCGGACAATATGGAGAAACTTATTATTCAAGGAAAAGTGGAAGAACATAGACCAAGGGGAAAATTCTCAACTCGATGGATTAGCCAAATAACGGAAATTTGCGAAAGAACAATACATGAACTCATTGGATATAACAGAGGATAGATCTTATGGAGAAGGCTCATTTATGATGTCACGAG